ACCGCCCAACTATAAAAGCAAAGCGCCCAATAAAATCAGTGCTTACTAGTCTGAACCTCTGCCTGTGAATACCACCACCCTGCCCTGACATTACATGGCGCAGTCGCAGTTGACTTCACTGAACCTGCTAACCTAAAAATCCACGTGTTTGCACCATGGCAAACGCCGCTGCCTCATCGTATCTTCCAATATCACCACCGGATCCGCTCTGCCTAGAAGGAAGCAATATCAGCAGTGTATGGACAGCGTGGAAGGAAGCATTCAAGGATTATGTCACGGCGCTCTCGGACACCGAGATTGATCCAAAGAGGCAAGTAGCGCTATTTAGACATGTTGTGGGAGAGGCCGGCAAAGAGTTGCTTCGCTCATTTACTTTCACTACTGGTGAAGGAGCGGCTAACCCCAATCCCACTATAGATGAGGTCTTTGCAAAATTTGATCAGCACATTCTGCCAAAGTCCAACATAACATTCGAGCGCTTTCAATTTTTTACCTGTCGTCAGAAAGAAGGTGAAACTGCTGATTGTTATGCAGCCAGATTGAGGCAGCTTGCCAAATCATGTAAACTGGGCAATTTGAAAGATGAGCTAGTCAGAGATCTAATGGTGGTAGGCCTTTTCAATCATGCACTTAGAGAGAAACTACTTCAAGTAGATAACCTCACACTAGACAAGTGCATTGAGTACTGTAGAACTGAGGAAGTCACTCGTCAAAGATCTGAATTGATGAAGACTAATAGTGCAGCTGCACAGCTGAGTGTAGAGGCAATTAACAAGAGGGCAAAAGGCAGCAATAGCATGCAGAATTTCAGGCGTAAAGGTCAGGATAGTAAGCCAACTCAGAGAGATAACTATGTCACTGATTGTGGATTTTGTGGATCGTCACACAAAAGGAATAAATGTCCTGCATATGGAGAACGGTGCACTGGCTGTGGTCGGAAGAACCACTTTGAAAAAGTGTGTAGAAGAAAATATGTGAAGGAGATTTCAAAAGGAAACAACAGTGGCAGCAGTGAAAATGATGATGATACTGATAATGATGATGGATTCAAAATTGATTGTATTTCTTCCAAGTGCAACAGGGGAGAGAGAAAGCAGCGATGGTATCAAGTAATCGGAGTCCATGGACAAAGGATCAAGTTCAAGGTAGATACCGGAGCAGACATCAACACACTTCCAAGGCAAGTCTTTTGGCAGATGAGGGGTGAGTTTCATCTGTATCCAGTTGAAGAAATGATCTACAACTACACCAGAGGTAACGTTAGCTGCCTAGGAAGAATCTTTGTTCCATGCGAAGTAAACAAGAAAGTGCATGTGTTGGAGTTTCACGTAATTGATAGTAATGATGTCAAACCTGTGCTTGGATGGGAAGCTGCAGAAGATTTAGGTCTAGTAGTGAGGAAATTTATTGACCAGATCACTACTGAATCGGAGCAGGAAGATAATGAGCAGGAGACTCCGCTCAACCTACCTGGTAAATGCAAAGGTTACGAAGATTGTTTTAAAGGGGTTGGAAAGTTTGATGGGGTGTATAAAATTGTGCTGAAGGAAAATGTCTCACCAGTTGTTCATGCCCCCAGGAAAATTGCCTTCGCACTAAGAGAGCCACTCAAGAAGGAGTTGCAACGGATGGAACAGCACGACACCATCCAAAAGGTGGAGGGACCCACGGATTGGGTCAATTCAATGGTGGTGGTTCACAAGAAGAATAATGGACTCAGAGTATGCCTGGACCCCAAGGACCTCAACATGGCCATCAAGAGGGAGCACCGGCAATTACCAACCCTGGATGAGTTTTCTGCTGAAGTCGCAAATCAAGCTAAGTATTTCTCGGTACTTGATGCTAGAACAGGATTTCTCCATATGATGCTTGATGATGAGAGTGCGAAATTATGCACCTTTAACACCCCTTGGGGACGCTACATGTTCAAGAGATTGCCGTATGGTTTGAATTTAGGATCAGAAATTTTTCACACCAAGTTTTCTGAAATATTCAAAGGCAGGGGTGAAGATTTATATTGATGATGTATTGATTTGGGGCAAGACGGAGCAAGAGCATGATGACAGGTTAAGAGCAGTGCTGCAAAGAGCAAGGGAATCTGGAGTCAAATTTAATGGTGAGAAATGCCAAATTGGACAGGAATCCGTAGAATTTTTGGGTCATTGCTTTTCTGCAGCTGGCATGACACCTGCTGAGAGCAGAGTTAAAGCCATTGTGAACATTAAAACTCCAGAGAATATCAAGGCATTAGAAAGATTCTTAGGAATGGTACAATATGTTGCTCGTTTTATACCAAACCTTTCCAGTATTGCAGCACCACTCCGCCTTCTCAAGAAGAAAGAAGTGGAATGGCACTGGGACCAACCCCAAAGAGAAGCATTTGCCAAGCTGAAGCAGTTATTATCATCAGCACCAGTCCTCAAATATTTTGATGTCAACAAACCCATTACCATGTCTGTCGATTCATCGAGAAATGGGCTTGGAGGGACCATAATTCAAGACGGACACCCAATAGCCTATGCATCGAGGGCACTCACAGCAGCTGAAACAAGGTATTCGCAAATAGAGAAAGAGTTGCTTGCCATTGTGTATGGATGTGAGAAGTTTCATCAGTATGTTTATCACAAGGAGATACTGGTTGAAACTGATCATAAGCCCTTGATTGGAGTGTTCCGAAAGCTAATCAATGACTGTCCACCTAGACTGCAGCGAATGATGATGCGGCTTCAGAGATATGATATTCAATTAGTTCACAGGCCAGGAAAAGAGATGTACATTGCAGACACCCTATCCCGAGCATTTATTCAAGAAGACAGAGAGGTGGAGATCAGCATGTTACAGCTGTGTCAAGAGATGGAGCTTCAAGTTGCAGCAATCACAGCGGCCCTTCCCATTGTGGACTCAAGACTTCAAAGCATCAAAGCTGAGACTGCAAAGGATCCTGCGATGCAAAAGCTACGCAAGTACATCAAAACAGGTTGGCCCAAAGATTTTATGAATGAGCCTGATGGAGAGCTTGGGGAATTTGCAACTTGTAAAGCTGATATCTATGAACATGATGGATTGCTATTTAAAGGAAGTGCAATAATAATTCCAACCTCGTTAAGAAAACTAATGCTAGACAAGGTTCACTTTGCTCATCAGGGTTTAAACAAATGCAAGGCAAAGGCTCGGGGTGTTTTATTTTGGCCAAAGATGAATTCTGAAATTACTGATTTGGTTCAGCAGTGCCAGATATGTTGTCAGTTCCAGTCTGCAAAGATTAAAGAGCCATTACAGCAATTTCCAATTCCAGAGTCTCCATGGAGCATGATTGCTGCTGATGCTTTTGAGTACAGGAGAGCCAACTATCTCCTCTTGGTTGATTATTATTCTAAATTTACCATACTGTGCAATCTGGCAAACTTATCGTCCGTAGCAGTGGTTAATCAATTAAAATCAATCTTTTCGCAGCATGGAGCACCACAAGTAATAATCTCAGATCCCAGGCAAGAAAGGTCATATATGACAACAGATATCATCACAAATACTGAGCAAGATATGTAACCAGATCTGGTCAGACTAAAATGCAGATGTGGAAGTAGACATCAAACAATTGCACGTCTGGCCACATCTGAGTCCAGGTTGAAGTACCAGAACTGAAATCATTTATGTAAAGTCCGCCAGGAAACAGAATTTTACGCAGTCAGATCTGTTTACAAATAAAGCGTCAGACCTGATGCCAGGTATCAGAACTGTTCCCAGACTTGATCGCGTGTTTCGCGGAGAGGCAGGTGTCAGACCTGAATACATATATGTCATGTTGCCAGGTCTGATAGTAGATATGAGGACATGTATGTTGGCAGGTGTGTAACGACGCGGTCCGGGGAGGAGGCTATATGCGAAAGTGCGAGTTAAAGGTCCATAAGTAACAGAAAGAACAAAAGCACAATATCAGTAGACAGATATCTTTATATCAAAAAGTTTACATATAGAAAATTGCATTTATTGCATGCAACTAGCTTTTTCAACTGTTATAAAAATAAAATTAACTTCAGAAACAAGATTGTTATAAGTATAATCAGCAATAAACATACAAACATAAAATCAAAATAGGGATCGTTGATTTAAAATGATTTAAAAACTAACCCCGACACTTAAAATCTTTTGGTAAAAGACGTGTCTCACTTTAAATGAACATTTAAAAAATATGATTTATAACCATCTAATAAGTGATATAAAACAAAAATGAAATCACTAAAATTTTTAAAGCAATTGAGGAACATTTTAATCCTGCTTTTCATGGTCTTTCTTGGCCTTTCTTGCTTTCTTTTCTTTTTTTCTCTCTTCTTTCATCCTCTTGAATTCTATCTCCTTCCTGATCCGTGCCCTCATTTCACTCATTTTGGTACCCATCTTCCTATGAAGAGAGGTTTCACTTTCTCGCCTTAACTTCTTTTCTTTACAAAAATGTTTTGCCATATCTGTAATACAAAGGGAAAGATACAAATTGAAAAAAATTATGATCTGTTAGAAATCAATATGAATTATTATATGCAACCTTCAGCACAGCCACCCAGATAAGAACCCAGTTAATTAGAGAGCTTTTACTGCTTTCAATGTTAAGTATTAAAGTCTTTCCTATTTTGGCGTGAGAATGATCATCAAGGACCCTATTTTGACTGAAGTTTGACATCACTTTCTCGTTGGGAGACTATGATCAAGGGTACACCTCATCACTATTTTCTTGAAATTTTTCTTATTCTTTTTTTTTTAGAGAACTAACCCAATATTTTAAAAGCCACAACACACACCTCTCCCCTTTCCATGAACACGTACATAACATATCAGAAGATTTGATAAAGCGTCTTTATCACAATACTTTCGAACTAGTTTGAGAAAGAGGTAGCACTGGTATCAACTCACCCATAATTGCTTTCAAGGCTTTGGGATACAGCCCTGGTCGAGACTCTGTCGTTTTCCCCAGAGGTCCCTTCTGGACTCCACCCAGCAATGAGCATTTCATTACAGCATCATCCGTGAACACCATCTCTAAAAGACTGCGCACTATGCTGCTGTGGGTTTTGCTTTTGGACTTTAGACCCAGTAAAGCATCATCATTTACGTATATGCCAGAACCAGGGTGCAGTTCTACACTCTGCAATCAAAAACACCCTTTCAGTAAGCATCAGAATCAATATTAGCATAATAAGAAAAAAGCTCACACTTACATCTTCATCCCCCTTTTTGTACCGAAGGTGAGACAAGTATTCCTCTGTCTTCAAAGGTTTGGGCTTTTTCCCATGAACATATGCATCATCATCTTCATCTTCATCTTCATCATTATCATCGTCATCTTCATCCTCCTCACCACTTTCTTTGGCATTCTCACATTTATTTCCATTTTCTTTCTCTTGATTATTTCTATCTATATCTTCTTCCTCCTCACTACTTTTATTTTTATCTTCATTCTCTTCAATATTTCCAATTTTGTCTTCTTCATCACTTGACTCTTCACCACTTTCATCTTTCTCTTTACCTACTGCAAACTCTTCATCACTGCTGCTGAAATTTGTGCTGGGTTTTGCTGTACTTTCCGAACGAGCTTTGATATGGCTAATTTTATTCTCTTTAGTGGTGGATGCTTTTCCTACCTTTGCCCCACTAAGAACATTCCCATCCATTTCCTTGTCTGGCAAAACTCGCTCAGTGTCACTGGCTTTTTGTACAGGACTGATTGATGGTCTATTCCCAGTAACTGTAAGAAAATAGCGTAAGTATTTCACAAGAAGCACAATAAATGAAAAAACAGACATGAAAAGATAAATAGTGAGCATACATTTGAGAGATTCCGTCAAGATGGGAGTGGATGAGCAGTGGACTGCTGCACTTCGCTTTTTGATCTCATCAGCCTGAGACTTGGCAGCCTTCAGATTCAACGCAGAGAGCTAAAATAGAAGTAAGCAACTGAAAACTTGGAAACACAATAAAAGAAACTGAAAATCGGTCGTGTACAAACCTGCTTGGGAAGTTTCTTTTCTTCTTTCTTTTTCACAACTTTGTCACAACTTCCAGCAGATTTCTTCGCCTTTTTCATCAATGCTCTACGCTGCTTTTCCAACAAAGATTTCTCAGCGCGCATGGAATCATCATTGCGCTTTCTCTTCCTATGACGCTTCACGGGCTCGGGCACAGCATGTTCGGCATCTACAAATAATAATCCATGAAAAAATTCATTTTGTACACTATGAGAAGCAAAACTATTTTCATCCTCCTGCATAACTCAGAATAAAATTACAAATCCAAAATTAAGAGGTCTCCTACAATCATTCTCAGTCAGGTTGGATTCCGTTTAAGTAGAGCAATAACTCCAGAGCTAAAAGACTTCAGTAAAAATACGAGGTATCTAAGGTTTTTCGTGGCATTGACGAAAGGGAGATGATCAAAATTGGCCAATGTACCTGCTTCGCGCGAAGCTAGCACATACATGCTGGACGTAACCGATAGGTTAAGTGTGGCGCAGAACAAATTATTTCCGAATAAAAATCGATATGGTCCGCAGGAAAAATACCTTAAAAATACCTTACTAGAAATCCGTTTCCAAAGTGTCTTTACCAATAAAGTCCTTTAGAAGCACACAACCGGCCACCTATCCCACCCTGCTCCCAAGGTGGAGGCTCGGTTATCGGAAAAGATTTTAGCGTTGTTTATGGAACCTGTCAGTCAAATGGTAACGAAACTTACCAATACCATCCGGATTCAATTCTTCTTCGTGGTTGCTCTTGTGCTCCGACATTTTCCAAGTCCCAGTACTACACGCAAGAAAGTTCACTGGGCGGGAGTCTTGTACAAGTGGCGAGGAGGGAGCCGTTGAGAATAGGAAAGAGGGCAAAATATCCGGAAGTACCAACACCCCAAATCGAAATACTGCAATACACAGGTTGAATAAAGTATGAAACCTGTGCTATTTTCCTAGTTAATAACATTTATTAACTACCAAATAAGACAATAAAATGATCGAGAAACAGTAAAACAATGTATTTAAGTTTGCTCTTATCGAAGTATTACTTCAACAGTTCGAAATCTTGTAACCAGGACCAGGAAACGTTCAACTACTCACTTCATTTCATGCAAACCGCTTTTTAACCAGAACGGAGATTTTATAACTCTTAAACCCTAAAGCCAAAGCCTTCTCTTCGAAGGGAAACGAAAATTGTTTTCTGGATGTACGTTGAGTACATAACGGACCTCTCGGACTATGGCAGACCACGAAAGATCAAACAACTTGATTAGCGTATTGTCCCGCATGGCGTTTGTTTTGTTTTGTTTACCCATCCCATCTATCTGCTGGTTTGCCGGTCTGATGTGCCCACCTTGCGGATGTGCCGTAATATTAACCGTCGTTTCTGTTGAAGTCCGCACGCTCAAGTCTGACCATATGTAATTATTAGAAAGGTTCATGATTTTTTTATTTATTTTTTTCTAAATTATCTCCCGAAATGGTCTAAACGTAGAGTGCTCCTCCTGAAGACTTAACCTCTTTCTTATTCACAGTGAAGGTATGTCAGCCACTGAGAAGTCGAGTTCTGAATCGTCGAGCCCTGAGAGCAGTGGTGATGAATCCTCTGATGGCATTACTCTCCCTGAACCTCCTCCAAAGAAAAGGAAACAATGGCTCCTAGGACAACCGGTTTGTGATTTTCATTGTCTCACTTTGTGCACTCCTACTGCTTCGGTACTGCATTGTAGACATTTTTTTTCTTTCCCAGTTGCCTACTCACATGCTGAACTGCCTGATTGCCCAGGGCCAGGATGAAGCTTCCTGCAGTGATGAGTCTTCTGATAGATCTCTACTCTCTGAACTGCATCGGAGTAATAGCACCCAGCCAGAAGAACTCAACATTGAATCAAATTTCCAGACGTCATACAATGATACAGCAGTAGCATTTAGTGCTGATGGGCCAGACAGTACTTCACTTGAAAACACAGCATCTGAAAGTTCATCCGCACCCAGCATCAGTGCCGACTCCAGTTCAGATAGTGAACATTCAAAATCCTCCACGTCAGAAAATGGTACCCCTGAAGAAATTGATATAACTGTGAAATTATTCCCAGGATCCAAGGTAACCATGGGCCAAGCTGTTTCCAAGCTGCTAGACATTTGCTGCAGACATGCAGCCCCTAAGGCATTAATAAGTGACCTGGTCAAATATATAGGTGAAATTTTACCTGGTTATAACACCTTTCCAAGGTCCATGTACTATTTTGAAAAAGTAATTAATCCGTATATTCCACCAAACTTAGCCGTTGTACATTACTGCTGCGAGGGCTGTGGAACTTATCTTGAAAATGGAACCAATTCTGCTGAATGTAGTGTTTGTGATCAATCCAATGTGAAATCTTTTTATGAATTCCCTCTAGAAACTCAAATTAAATACCTTTTTGAACAGCGCAACTTGGCTGACGTGATGGACTCCTATCAGGAGAAAGTCAGAGACTTAACAGACATAACAAAAGGAGAAGAGTATTTAAGAGTGAAGTGTAACTTAAGTGCAAAATATGATGTAGTATTGTTGTGTAGTGCAGATGGACTTAGGCCCCACAATAATTCAGAGCAGGAGATCTGGACTCTCACATACACCATTTGTGAAATTCCCCCACAGTTAAGGAAAGTCTTTACAATGGTTTCTCAAATTTGGTATGGCAAGAAGAAACCACCTATGAACGCTTTCTTGATACCATTCTCTGAAGCTGTTACTAAATTGTACAGTAAAGGAGTAACATGGACTCATCCAAGAACTAAAGAAGACAACTTAACAAGAGGAACGGGGCCTGTGTTTACTTTGGATGCTCCAGCACGGGCAATAGTCCAAAATATTGTACAATTCAGTGGTTTTTTCAGTTGCAACATCTGTGAAATTGAAGGAGAACATGTTAAGTCTGGGAGAGGAGGAAAAGTAGTATTTCCCAATGAAGATGATGTTGTCTTACGAACCAAAGAAGCAATGGAAGACCAGACAGAGTCTGTATTAAATAATGGTGTTGTTGTGAAAGGTGTGGCAGGTGATTCTACATTGAACTTGATCCCACTTTGTAACAGATCTACAGCTATCTTGTATGAGTATATGCACTTGATACTTCTCGGTGTAACCAGGCAATTTTTCTGCAAGTGGTTTGCTTCAAAGAAAAGGATAGGGAAGAATAAGAAGAAAGAAAATGAACCATGGTACATTGGTGATAAGACGAAGGCCATCAACAAGTTCCTTCAAATAGTGAAAGGAACTTACGAACTATCAAGATTTCCTAAGGATTTAGACAAATACAAGACATTTAAGGCCACTACCTGGCTTGTTTGGCTACTTTATGTCTCTCCTATAGCATTACAAAAGTACCTACCACAGGATTATTTCCAGCACTGGATTCTGTTGGTCTTGGCTGTCCACACATTACTGAATGAAGTCATCAGTGAAAATGAACGCGAAGTTGCAGCCATGCTCCTCTCTGTATTTGTCGAGAAAGCAGAAAAATTGTATGGGAAGGAGATTATGACATACAATGTCCATGGTTTGACACACATGGCACTTATGGTGAAACGATGGGGAGCTCTTTGGTCTCACTCCACTTTCCTGTTTGAAGATTTCAATGGTGTAATAACAAGAAATTTACATGGAACTGTTAATATATCAGAAGAGTTCACAAATGTGTTAAGTAGGCATATCGCCAATGCAACTTTAAAGAATTACCTTACTGTTGCTCAAGACGAATCCTCAACAAATCCCGCCTTGAAGGGTAAGGAGTTCTACTATACCTTATCTCAGAGAGAACTTGTACTTCTACGCCAATATTCTCCAAACACTGAGCAGAGGATCCCCATTCATGGAAGAGTGCAGCGAGGGAACACAATTTTCACCACAATTTCTTACAACGCAGAACACACCACAAACAATAAAACTATTGTTTTCAAGAGTGATGAAAATACTAAGGTGTTTGGCACTCTGCAGTTTTTCTATAATAATGGAGGACAAATTCTAGCCTTTATCAAGGCTTTAGATGTTGACAATGATTCTAGATTTAAGCATTTAGACACTGGCTTTTGTGTTAGACACATTGTTCCAATTTTGGAGACAGAAGACATATGCGTTGTTCCATTGGAAAATATACTTTCTAAAGTAATAAGGCTGGGAAATTATGTCTGTGTACCGCCCAACAAGTTTGAACGTAATCTGTGACGTTGTTTGTATTTGTGTATTTTTATGTCTGTGATTTGTTGTTTTTAGAGAGTTGATGTTACAACTGTTATGAATTAACTATGTATCCTCAATTTTAAGAAAAGGATGTCAATGTTTGCTTCTTTGTGATTCAACAGGGTCTTAACTACTAGTGACTGTAAAACACTTTTTACTACAAAATTAATTTCTTCATTTCTGCACAGGATTCTCATTAAAATTATTTATATTGAATGCAGCTGGTACAACTTGATCTTCATCTTCTTTATCCCTGTATTCCACTTTATCGGCTCCTGGTACAAACTGATCACATGGGTTAATGTTCTTGAACTTATCAAAGTGATACTTGAATGCTCTGCGAGCTGCATCTCTCTTATTATCTGTAAAATAAATGATTCTTGAAGATGATTCCATACATTGTCAGCGCAGGTAAATCTGAACATTTCCATGTAAAAAATTGAATTACCTGCGATTGCTACTATAAGAGCGTCCTCCCTTCTCTTGGTTCTTTTATTAAAAATTTTACGTATGTGCCCAGGAACAATAGTGACTGGTGGAGGCCTTCGCAATGTCCACAAATTAAATAAATCAGTCAGGTCGTCCTGCCACTGGATTACTACATAGATTGGTTCTGAAAAGGAAATTACAGTTATGAAGTATACTGAACCTACGTCCCCACGGACATAAACTGGCAATCTTTTACTGCCTAAGAAAACAGATTCTATATGAACTAACATGCAGTGATCTTACCTGATGATGACATTATTTCTGACTCATAAATATAAGCATTGAAAAATACACACAAGCTGGTCGCAAATAAGGAACTATAACCACGTTTCCGTGAGTGCCGATTCAAAGTAATGTCAACATCACGAAGCGAAATAACTGCGGAAAAGTTTGAAATCTCGCGCTGGAAGTAGAGGCGAATGGTGGGGAGGAGAGATGGTGGGGGTGTCTGGGTACCAAGATGTACTCCTGAATTACCGCTCTCCTTGTCTGCGTTTGTGTAAAATCATCTGAACGAAATATGATAGCCATATCTGGCCAGATCTGATAAATTATCTGTTGTATATTTCAAATATGGTAGATAACTGTTGTCAGATCTGATAACGGGTATGAAGGCACAATATAGCTTTAAAATAATTATGAACCTTTTCGCACGCAACCAGATAAAATACCCGGTCATTCTTCAGATATGTGAAATAATATGATTCTGTGTCTGTAAACAGATCTGACTGTCACACGAGCTCGCAAAAGTTCGAAACGTCAAAATATATGTCCCGGCTGCGGATATCAGATCTGTTCTCGAATCAGAGCGCAGATATTAGATCATACATGTAATTGTACCTCAGCGTCCCAACTCTTCCAGACATGACAAAATATATTAAACACAACTGTCAATCTGGATTTTAGTCAGATGTGTATCCAGATCTGTTTAGGAGCAGTGCAAAGAAAGCACGCTATCTTTCTCCCCACATCTACTTTCAGATCTGATTGCATATATGGCATCGACTTCATAGATTTTAACTTCTACCTCGCGACGCCAGGTGTGAAATCACATTTTTTCCCT